ATTCTTAAGGCCTAGCTCATGTTAGGGAACGTGTTATAAGCCATTGCCAGTCTATGCCCCACTGTGCCCACCACCAACTTCTACCGCTGAGCGCGTCCTCTCGTTGGGTCAGAAGATCCTTCCACAAGGAGAGTCAGCTCTCGCTGGAAAATTCTCTGGAAGCTTGAAACTTGAAACATTTGAACAATTCCTTGTAAGAGAGAAAGCAGTATAGACTTCACAACGTGTATATGGTGTGTCAAACTTGCACTGACTTGGTAATAATCTGTCTTATCAGTTTGCTGAATAACTTTTTTTTATCCATTATAATCAAGACAACATGTAATGGCATGCATTTCCTACTTGATAGTGGGCTTTCGAAGCTGAACCTCAGTTAATTGAAGAGTGTTGCAATCTGGAGCATTGGTGGTGTTGAGGTGGCGATAATCACCACAAGGACGCCAATCGCCATCCTTTCTCTGCACTAAATGTAGGGGAGACACCCATTGCTGGAAGTTCTCTCGTGAGCTCAAATTCCGCACTGGTGACGTGGAAATGGACGCTGGCAAGGAGCCTGCAACGGGAGTAGACCGGGAGTCAAGCTGTGACAATGTGGTACACGACACGGGCGGTGTTGTTGCAACATTAATGGGTTCTGTCAGCAGTGGAAATTCTCGAAGGATGTCCCGATAGGCGCACTGGCTGGGGAGAAATGTGTCGATGAAAGGGGTGCTTACCAGGGCCGACATGGCATAGGTGTGGGCTCCTGACTGAGAGACCTTCACCTAAGGTCTACCATGAATCAATGATGGGCAAGGAAGTCTGCTCCTGTGATGGGCTGCTGTACGTCGGCGATCATGGAATGCTCTCTGTAGACGTTGATAGGTGAACAGTTGGCGGCCTCCAGTGTGTACTAAGCAGGCAGGTGCTTGTCCTTGTTGGATGAGGCTGACTTCCACTCCTGTGTCACACAGAGACTGTAAGTGGTAGTTGACGCGAAGAGGTCGAACAATGCGTTTCGCAGTTGGGATTCGCTCGCTGTAGGGTCGCTTCATTGAGTAGTTCAGGATTGTTTAAGAAGTTCGTATGGTAAATCTGTCACCAGTTCGGTATTTCGTGGCGGGTGAGGTGACGTGGCATAGAAATTCTTGTTTCATCCGCAGAAAACATTACGTAAGGCTGGTGAGGGAGTAGGTAAGGAGCGGCTTTAGGGGGGCTGACAGACTCATGGCTAAACTGATTAGTATTTCCGAGGGTCACCAGTTTGGTTGTAGTAAACGTACGGTAGGTCAAAGTACTCTTTATTATTCAGGAGATAAAGTGCAGTGTTCTTTGGTCGATGAGTGGTAATACAATAACTCGGAGAGAGAAGGTACAGTTTCGAAAGTTAAAGAAGTTGTAGATTTAAAGTATAGAGTGACATCCCTTGCATGTCTTTTTCTATTGTTAGCATGTTATGATCGAGGCAGGGGACGGAGGAGGCAGGTCTACATGCGCACATTAAATGAACTCAAACAATAAGAACCATTTTGTATTTCTAGTTTTACACTTTTATCTTTCAATATTATTTATTACTGCCGAGAACAGATGAACAAGAACTTTTTATTTTCATTTTAACTATTACACTGAAACAAGAACGAGTGAAAACCAGTTTTATGTTATTTTATTCATATAATTTTGTATTT